CCCCAAAACCCCAAAACCCCAAAACCCCCTCCTGTAAAGATTAAAAATAAATGTTGAAAATTATTATTAATTAGAGAGTTATGCAACTTTTGTTATTAAAAGTGTGCTCTAAACTTTTTACTAACATTGCATATATAATCTTAGCAAATAATTTAAAATGAATTTAGATTAGCAAGAGCCTGAGTAGGAGCAAGTAACATGTCTGTCCAAGAACTGTTTAAAAGACATAATTTAAAATAGTCATCCATCCCTTGAAAGCAAATTTGTTTTGCAGGTGCTTAATTTAAAAGATGTTGAGGAGTCCAAAAAAGAAAGAAGAGTAGATTTAGGCATCAATATATAAATGAATTCACAAGATGAAACGATGAAGTAGGAATCAAATCTTAAAAGCAACTCTCTAAAGTTAAAGTAATTATTATTGATTCTTATTGTATATACCTTTCAATAGATTTTATTTGTCTGATGGAGTATCCTAAGTATTAGCAATAATAAATTAATCAGTATTTAAGCTAATGAAAGAACCAATTGAATCCTTTTAAATCATATATCTGCCACAATACTTAAAACGAGTTGTTGCTGATAAAAAGTAATAAATTTCTATTTAAACTTTAAAGTGTGCTAATTTTAACAAAGCCACCAATTGTAATTTTCAAAGAGCTAAAAACTAAAATTGGACTACCAAAAGACTTTGATCAAAACTTAAAAGATGGGTTTAAGAATGAAAAATTAGCAATTGAAGTTGATATTCCCAAGCATATCATTTAGCTTAATAAGGGCGAAAAACAAAAAATTGAAACTTAGTTATTTAACATGCAAGAATTTGAGTGCGCCTTTGAGAAAGAAATTGAGGAAAACTAAATGAAATAGTGTGCTAAAACAGATGACAGCTCTCCGACTTAAAGCACTAGCTGTTTAAGCAGTCCTGCTAAAAGCGATATGACAGATACATCAGCATAACCTAAGGAAAAAATCCAGATTAAAATTCAGCAAAATTACATGCCCATAAAAGCTCTCACTTCCTTTAATTATGAATGGACTATAAAAGCCAGAGTAATAAAAAAGCATGAAACTAAAACGTGGAAAAATAAAAGATCTGAAGGATAGCTATTGAATATTGATCTAATGGATAGTTATGGAACTCAAATTTAATCTACATTTTTTAGAGAAGCATTAAGAAAATATGGAAGTATGATAGAGGAAAGAAAAGTAAGATAAATTAAAACGGACTAATTTTTTTTTAGGTTTACTTATTTTCGAATGGGCAGGTCAAGATATCAAACTAAAAATTTACTTCAATTAAGAATGATTTCTGCTTGGTCTTTGATAAGCATGCTGATATAGTTGAAGTCCCAGATGATGATTCCATTGATGAAAATGGATATAGTTTTGTAGGAATAAATGAAATTTAGAAACTCGACAAATCTATAAAAAAAGTTATAGATATAATTGGAGTATTGATCAATTCAGGGTAAATAACAGAGGTTACGACTAAAAATGGCTAAATTAAAGAGAAAAGACTGATAACTATAGCTGACGATACAAATCTTGCTATTCAAGTTTGCTTTTGGGCTGAAATGGTTCATAAATTTGATGATATCTCAGGAAACCCTGTAATAGCGCTAAAATCAGTAAGAGTTGTCGACTTTGTTGGCAAGTAATTAAATTTTGGGGAAGATGCTTAATTATTAATAGATCCTATTCATCCTCGAAGCAAAGAACTTAAACTTTGGTTTGATAGCTAGCTATAAAGTGGATTTATTAAAAACCTTAATAAATACTCACCAAAAGAATCACCAATTAAATAAATATCAGACTAGGTGAGTTTAGTCGCTGAAATGTTGGATTAAATTCATCTTTAAAACTAAGAAAATACACTGGAGAGCTCTTTACTGCAATTTTGACAAGAGTTTTTCATTGTTAATTGCAATATATCCTAGATAAAAAATGATGAAAAGTCTTTGTATTTAGCATGTCCTGAGGATAACTGTCGGAAGAAGGTAGTTGAAATACCTGATAATAACTTTAGATGTGACTCATGCAATAAAATCTTTGATACCTGCGTACCAACTTATATGCTTCTAGTAAAACTTCAAGACTAATCTGAGTCAGTTTATGTTAACTTCTATAGAGAGCAGGGTTTTTAAATTATGAATTAAACAGCAGATGCAATAAATAATCTTCAAAGAGAGAATAGACATGATCTTGTTAATGAAGCATTTTTCGATGCCTAATTCAAAAATTACTAGATTTAAATTAAAGCTAAACGAAATAGAAAAGGAGAGAATTCAAGATTGAGTTACTATGCAACTAAGATTCTGAATCATTCATTCAACTAAGAAAACTTGGAGCTCTTAAAAAGATTGGATATTTATGGTAAATTGATTAAGATTGATGAGGATTAGAAAAATTAGCAGTAGCTATAACAAATTCAAGAACAGAATTAATTAAATATGCAAGCAGAAATCGCTGTAAATAATTGAAAATTAATTATAATATCATTCTACTGTTAAATTAAAGTTTAAGATGGGGTTTTGGGGTTTTGGGG